CTTCCTGCCTCCCACTTTCCACCCAGCGACCTGGACAGCACCAGCTGTTGGTTACTACTGGGATTCAATGACGCCCTCTTGATACCACATTTCCTCTAACCAGAGAAGGCTACACCTCTCCCAGCCTGCATCCCAACCCAATAGCCCAACCCTCTGACACCTGCCCACTTCTACAGAGGAAAGGGTTTGAGAGAAGCATGTTTGCCTCCACAAAGTAGTCAGCTCTGTCCGCCTGTCTGCAATTTCATTGATGCAGCCCTAGCTGTGGTAGGGCCCTTGCAACAGCCTCCTCCATCTTTCCTACCCGCCCCCAAATGTTGATATAGGATAAACTGGAAGTCAGTGGAACTGATGCTTTTGAATTCACCCCATTCCGTTGTGCCTCACTATGCCACTAATTGAAGCAATGAGAAGGAAACCCACAAAGAAGTTAGTTTCACTTTCTGGCATGACTCAGGAGGAACCCTGCCCACAGTATACTGTGCCCTGAGATCTTGAACACAAATGTTAACAAATGTTTATTGTTAAGTGAATTCCCCACTCAGGCTTGAAATAATCCAACTTTTTAAAATTTTTTGACTCACCATACTGTTTTTTTCCCCAACCCTAATCAAAGATCTGATTTTGCCTCAGAAAGAAGTGGGTAAAGTAGTGATAGTTAGGAACCAAGGAATGTATTTGTCAAATCTTTATTCAAGATTTTTTATTCACGCTTTTGCCCATCATTTTGTTTTTTACAAAAGCATAGCCAAGACTCTGCTTGTGGGAGAGAATGAAAGGTAACGATGCATGTGGGCGGTCCACTTGCTGACTCCAGTGGGGGCCCACAGAGCTCACCATCACAGGCACTTGATGCAGCAGGTGGGAGCTGTGAGTGCAATCAGTCTTTTGCCTCCTGATTGTCCTCCCACTTCCTTAGGCTGTGTGCTCGAAGACTCAGGGGAGGCTCCTCTTTGGACTCTTGCTGCCCTGCTGGGACCCTGCTTCCTGCCCTCTCTGCATGGCTCCTACAACCACTGCTTTCACACTTCCTGGGGGTCTGGTAGGCAGACCAACTCCTCCACATCTCTGTCCCTTGCAGAGTGGGAAGCAAGGAGAGAGAGGCAGGCCAAAGAGAAGACTGTTGGCATTGAGCCGCATAGGAGAGTGCAGTCTGGCCCCTCCCAAGAGAACCTGAATGTTCTCAGAGGCCTCCTCTCCTGTAACGGATTATAAAGTTGATACACACAAATTGGTCCTCTTCACAGAAAATCTCTCATCTGGAGGTCACCACTGACGTTCAAAAACATGGCTTTCTCAGAAAATAAAATAGCATTTAGTTTAACGAGACTGTGGATTTGAGGGCTTTAAGTTGGGTTTTGCCTTCTATTTTATAGACAAGGCAGCACTTACATAGATCTGTTCTTTACGTTGCTGCGCTGCTCCTCTGCTAGCATTTTCCCTTTGTCTCTTCTTTTACTCTTGTTATTCCCAATGATTAGCCCAGCTTGTGAGGTGCTGAGATAGATCTGGATGAACTGAGAAGCACTGTTGTTGGCAGGATGCATGCTGCTGTTGATCATCTTTGTCCACTCAGCCTTTAGAGCTGTCCTTGACTCATTCGGCATTCACGGTTACACATAAAATGAGCAAGTGTGGATTGACACAGGAAGGAGAGAGGAAGAGAGCAGTTTCTTTTCTGTTTTAAAATCTTATTTTTTGTAATTTCCCTATTTGAGAGGGAGGGAGGGGAGAAGGGGACAGAGAGGGCTCACCTACTGGCTCATAGCACAAGTGCCAGCAATTTCCATGGCTTGACCCATGGCTGGGAAGCATGAACAAAACAGGTCTCCCACATGAGTGGCAGAAATCCAATGATCACAGCCACCCCCGTGCCTCCTTGGTGTACACTGGTGGGAAGCTGGAGTCAGGGGAAGGAGCAAGGATCACATCTAGGTACCCCAATGTGGGATCGAGTATTTGCATGGCTCAGCTACATGCCCAACCCTCCCCTTTTCTTCCTGTAATCAGAAAAGTCCCTTGTGATACCGTCTATGGATATCATATTTAAACCAGGCATGGTTAATGTAATTCCATTAACCAAGCAATAATCTGATGTTGACTCCCACCATTGGGTTCCTAATATCACAAAAATCACCTCTTCTCAAAAAAACAACTATTTTAACTACGATGACATTAAGGGACTGAAGTTAAGCAAGTAAACAGACACATTTCCACTGCTGTAAGTCCCTACATTCTGCTGTCATTCCAATAGTAGGATGCCATTCTAAGGCTGCCTGGGGTTTATTTTGCTCAAGCAGACTGGGAAGTCAGGAGGAAGTGTGCAAGATTCATAAACCCTTGGAAGGAGGATGCAGGCAAATCACTGAGGTCCAGGAACAGCCTGGAGGGAGAATGAGTGGGGAAACTTGGGTAGGATTAGGAAGTGTGAGTAACTACAGCAGACCCACTGGGCACAGAGCCTGTCCATAGTGGACTAGTCATCTTTCTCAGGGGCGATTAGCAAGGGAGACAGTGACCTGAAGGGGGAATGCCTGAGGTTAAAATGGTGGTGGGGCTGTGGACCTTGGCCTTGAAGTGCTGTCAGTGACATTGTGGTATCTCATTCTTCATGCAGAATGAAACTCTTTCCTCCCTTTCTGAACTCACTGCTTTATTGTGGTGGACTGAGACACTAAGTAAAAGCATCTGAAGATTCTTATAAAAGTAATATATGGTATAATGAACATCATCTTCAGGATATCCTGAATATTGAAAATAGTTATCTGTCCAGGAGACATCAACCATTTCTTTTTTTTTAATTTTTTTATTTTTTGATAGGCAGAGTGGACAGTGAAAGAGAGACAGAGAGAAAGGTCTTCCTTTTGCCGTTGGTCCACCCCCCAGTGGCCGCCACGCTGCGACGCACCATGCTGATTCTGAAGCCAGGAGCCAGGTACTTATCCTGGTCTCCCATGGGGTGCAGGGCCCAAGCACCTGGGCCATCCTCCACTGCACTCCCGGGCCACAGCAGAGAGCTGGCCTGGAAGAGGGGCAACCGGGACAGAATTCGGCGCCCGACCGGGACTAGAACCCGGTGTGCCAGCACAGCAATCGGAGGATTAGCCTAGTGAGCCGTGGCGCCGGCCAACATCAACCATTTCATAAATGGTATAAAAACATAAATGTCAAAATAGGAAAAAATTAAAAATTACAAAACAAAAAAATAAAAAGATAAAGAACAAAAGCCCCTCAAAATGAAAACATAAAACTGAAAAAAACATAGGGACTGGCACTGCGATGCAATGGGTTAACGCCCTGGCCTGAAATGCCAGCATCCTAAATGGGCACCAGTTCAAGAACTGGCTGCTCCACTTTTGATCCAGCTCTCCACCATGGCCTAGGAAAGCAGTAGAAGATGGCCCAAGTGCTTGGGCCCCTGCACCTGCGTAGGAGACACAGAAAAAGCTCCTGGCTCATGGCTTCAGATCAGCACAGCTCCGGCCATTGCAGCCAATTGGGGAGCGAACCACCAGATGGAAGACCTCTCTCTCTGCCTCTCCTCTCTCTGTGTAACTCTGACTTTCAAGTAAATAAATCTTTTAAAAACTCAAAAAAATAGAGATAGAATTAAAATGTGATTTGGCAGTGATCACTTTTCAGTTAAGTTTCAGCACTGAAGAATAATTGTGTATTGATTACAGTATCAAGGTGGCATGTACCAATGCCATTTCACTAGTTCCAGTGATTAATTTCTGTTCACAATTGATCATAATGATAGGACTAAGAACCAAAGGGATCACATAAACAAGAATAGTGTCTGCAAATACTAGCTGATAGAATAAAACAGGGAGAGAACGATCCAACATGGGAAGTGAGATACACAGCAGACTCATAGAATGGCAGATGTCCTAAACAGCACTCTGGCCTCAGAATCAGCCCTTAAGGCATGCGGATCTGGCTGAAAAGACCATGAAAATATTTCAGGCATGGAAAGCCAAGACACTCTGGGGGAAAAAAAAACCTAAATGAAAGATCTCCGCGAGTGAGATCCCAGCACAAAGAACGGGCCATCAAAGAAGGAGGTACCTTTCTCTGAAGGGAGGAGAGAACTTCCACTTTGACGATGGCCTTGTCTAAATAACATCAGAGTTAGTGAACTCAAGAGGCTTCCATAGCCTTGGCAGCTCATGACAAGAGCCTAGGGTGATTACTGATGCCATAAACAAGAGTGTCAATTTGTTAAGTCAACAACAGGAGTCACTGTGCACTTACTCCTCATGTAGGATCTCTGTCCTTAGCGTGCTGTACATTTAGATTTAATGCTATAACTAGTACTCAAACAGTATTTTTCACTTTATGTTTCTGTGTGGGAGCAAACTGTTGAAATCTTTACTTAATGTATGCTAAACTGAACTTCTATATATAAAGAGAATCGAAAATGAATCTTGAAGTGAATGGAAGGGGAGAGGGAGTGGGAAAGGGGAGGGTTGCGGGTGGGAGGGACGTTATGGGGGGGGAAGCCATTGTAATCCATAAGCTGTACTTTGGAAATTTATATTCATTAAATAAAAGTTAAAAATAAAAAAAATTTTTAAAAATGTGATTTGGTATGGACACAATTTTAAATCCATTCCAAGGTTTTATGGTATGCATCTTCATCAAATTTTGATGAGATTTTATAATATGAGCTTTCATGAACTTTCTGTGACTTCATGATAAAAAAATGTATGAAAATGCTACCATGAAGAAAACTATGTGTGGGTTTAAATTTTTTGTGCCAATATCAGCTCATATTTTCATTCTGTTTTTATATATTTCACTGTATTCTTAAATACTGATTTTATAGTAACTGTTGCATGTCCCCTTGAACAATGGAATTGGAAATTCAAGACTGAAATGGGTTGAGCTGAAATTTTGGAATCAGATCATTCCATATTCCTTTTTGAATAATTTTGTGAAGTGTGAAGTGTACAACATGATTTCCCCCAGTCAGAAAACATGACATGACTCCTTTGAAGTCAGTTGCAAGCCAATTTGTTTATTTCTGGACAGAAAGAAAAATCTGTCAATTTTTTTTCTAAAAACACTCTTAGCTTCATGGTGGAGTGTAGGGAAATTAGTGATGTCCAGCTGTGAATATGCTACCACTAAATGAAATAAAATGATTCATTTTGGAGAGTTGGGCGGCCCCCTACTAGATGTGAGTTTTGCAGCTTGCTTTATATGGTCGATTACTGTTGTTCCAAAGCACCAGATATGATGAGATGGTTCCATTTCTGTTGAAAAAAAAAAGTGAAATAATATTCTCAGATTCTGGAGATATCCCAATTCCTGATTAAAGAACTGCCCTCAAGATTTCCCCTAAGAAATGAGGTAAACATCATTAAACCAAAAGACACACATGGGAAGGAACTGATAATACATGTCTCCAGGTTATGAACCAAACTTCACCCTGTAAAAAAATTGCCTTTTGCCAATAATAACCTAGGTTTGCAGAGTGCTTGCTGGCACTACTGAGGAGAAGTTAAGAGGAAGCCCTGAGAAACCATGCCAATGGAGCTCTTGAGTAACAGCGGACAGAGGACACAGCTGTGCCCTGGAATCCTCTTCCAATGCAGGATTCCGGTCAATCGCCCTACTTGACATGGGGTCAGATTCCAGGAGTGGCATTATTTATTTCACTGAAGATAAAACCTAAGTTTTCTTAGGACATATTCATAAAGTAAACTCAGTATGAGAGAGAGAGTGGCAAAAAAAGTACTTTAAAGCCAAGTGTCACACACTCATAAAGGAGTGTTTTCATGAGGTTTCTGAGACTTCATGCAGACAATTTAAGGAAAATATGTGTTATGAAAAAACCATAGATATTATACTTTCTGAACCCAACAAATCCCCACTCTTCATTTTTAGAAGATTTACCTTTATCTTTGAATACTCTTTGTGTACAAAGCATTGCAATTAACCCCTGATGAAGCAAAAGAATAAGGGCAGGTAAACTGAAAGGACCTGGTAGCTTGGAAAGTGTCCATTCAGTGTGCAACTACGAACACACATGGAACCACTTGATGCACAATGGTTGTCTTGGTGTAGGTGCCTCTTGGGCAATTTTCTACTCAGGAATTCCATCCATTCTTGGACAGAAACTGAATGTGTCAAGCAAAAATAGAAAACTTGTGCAAGCAGTCCTTCCTGTGAGGTTAAATGAAGTGCATGGGGAAAAAAATCCTAAGCAGTCATGGTAACTGTGCTCTTCTGTAACTCAGAAGTCAGAGGACAGTGCACTGGGTGGGCCCATACCAAGCGCAGGCTTGGCATCCTCTCCGGCTGGAGAATTCACTTGGTCATTATAGTGGACACTGGTCTGGTCTGCAGTAGCAGGGTAATTTGTTCTGCTGAAGAAACACCAGGGAGCAGGAAAAATAATGTTAGGTGAGAGCATGATACACTCATGGTGTGGATTTCAGGAGGTTTGAGACAGCTTAGAGATAAGCTTATGAAAAGATACAACTGATGAGCAAATTGATACCTAGAGTAATTGCTTTGTTGGACCAAAACAACTTCCTATTGTACCTTGATTCTTATATTTTAGTTTTTGTCTTTGAATACCAAATTGTCTTGCAGCATTAGAACTACTTTTAATGAAGGCAAAGAAAAAAATGAAACAAACTTGTAGCTTGGAAAATGTGAATTCAGTGTTGTACTGCCAACAAGTGTGAAGAAAACATGAAGACTATTATGTGTCTTAGTTTATGGGCCTCATGGGCAATTCTCTACCAAGGAACTTCACCCACCAGGGGAAGAAACTGAAGATATTTCAAGCAAAGTTTAAAAACAAACATTTTGAAACAGTAGTCCTTAGTCTTATGTTAAGTAAAATACAGAGAAAAGAAAAGAAAATCTTAAGGAAAAGAGATCCTAACTCAGCTTTCCAGCCACTTGGAATGCAGAGGACAGAAGACATAGGTGGGCCCATCTAGGCTCAGGCGTGGCATCCTGTGCCATTTCGAGATTTTGGCCATTCACCCTACCTGGTATTGTGTCAACAGCAGCGGTAGCATCAAAGCACCTGTAGAATGACAAACAAAAGTTGTCAAGATATTTCAGACAACAGACCCATCTCAACATCTGATGGCAGCAAAAGAAATTTGAAATCCAAGAAAATTGGCTCCTATTGTGGACTTGAATGAGTTTTCTGATACATCATTAAAATCAGTTTCTTAAAATATGGATAATGAAAAAAAGCTCATAGTTTAATAATTTTAGAACAAAACAAAATTCTTGTTTAAATTCATTCTTAGGTTTTTTTTTTCCCTTTTATCCTTGACTATTATTTGTATCTTAACAATCACAACTACTCTTTCAGAAGACAAAAAGATTATGATAAAAATCAAAGGTTTGGTAACTTGGAAAGTGCCCATTTGGTGTTTCTCTAGGAGTCAAGGATAGAATAGGAGGAATACAAAATGGAGTAGATGAGGTTAAGTGCCCCACGGGAAATTCCCTGGCAAGGAACTCCATGCTTCCTGCACAGGATCTGAAGAGTCCAAGCCAAGTTAGAAAACTTCTACAAACATTTCTGCACAATAGTTCTTAGTGTAAAGTTTAAAGATTTGTACCGAAAGATAAAATCCTGGTGCTTTGGCACAGTAGGTTAACCCTCCACCTGCGGCACCAGCATCTCATATAGGTACCGGTCCTAGTCCCAGTTGCTTCTCTTCTGGTCCAGCCCTCCACCATGGCCTGGGAAAGCAGTAGAAGTTGGCCCAAGTGCTCTAGCCCCTGCACCCATGTGGAAGGCCTGGAAGAAGCTCTTGTCTGCTGGCTTTGGACCGGTGCAGCTCTGGCTAGTGTGGTCATTTGGGGAGTGAACCAACAGATGGAAGACCTTTCTCTGTCTCTCACTGTCTGTAATTCTACCTCTCAAATAAATTTAAAAAATCTTTAAAATAAATAGAGAAAACCCCAAGGAATCAGGCCAGCTGTCCTCATAAGTAAGAAAAAGAGGAGAGAAAACATCAGTAGGCCCACTGCAAGGTTAGGCCTGATATCCTCTCCCAGTGGAAGATTTTTGTCAGTCACCATATTTGACACTGGGTGGGCTTCCCCTGGAGTGTCATTCATTCCGTTGCAGAAAAAAATAAAGCTCTCTTAAAACATTTTCATAAGACAGACTCATCTCAGTACCAGATAGTAATAACAAATTACTTTAAATACCAGCATCCTACACTTACAATGGGGATTTTCATGAGGTTTCTGAGACTTCATGTAGAAAAGCTAAGGAAAATATATGTTCTGGATTCATTTTTAGGTGTCTAATTTTACCTTTGAACACTATTTGTGTAGAAAGCACTGAAATTACCCTGCATTATGGCAAAGGCATAAGGAGATACTGATACTATCTGGTAACACGAAAAGTGTCCATGCAGCGTGCAACTGTGAGGCAACGATAGAATAACAATGCAAAACACTTTTCTTATTTTAGGTGCCTCTTGGGCAGTTCTCTACCCAGGAATTCCATCCATTCTTCATGCACAGAAACTGAGGATGTCAAACAACATTAGAAAACATGCACAAGCATTCTAGAAAATGTAGTTCATACTGTGAGGTGAAATGAAGTTTATCGGGAAAAAATATCCTAAGGGATCATGTCAACTGTGCTCTCCAGTAACTCAGAAGACAGAGTACAGTAGACACGGGTGGTCCCATAGAAGGTCAGAGTACCTTTCTCTGAAGGGAGGAGAGAACTTCCACTTTGACGATGGCCTTGTCTAAATATGATCAGAGTCAGTGAACTCAGGGGGCTTCCATAGCCTTGGAAGCTCATGATAAGAGCCTAGGGTGATTACTGATGCCATAAACAAGAGTGTCAATTTGTTAAGTCAACAACAGGAGTCACTGTGCACTTACTCCTCATGTAAGATCTTTGTCCTTAAGTGCGCTGTACATTGAGATTTAATGCTATAACTAGTACTCAAACAGTATTTTTCACTTTATGTTTCTGTGTGGGAGCAAACTGTTGAAATCTTTACTTAATGTATGCTAAACTGAACTTCTATATATAAAGAGAATCGAAAATGAATCTTGATGTGAATGGAAGGGGAGAGGGAGTGGGAAAGGGGAGGGTTGCGGGTGGGAGGGACGTTATGGGGGGGGAAGCCATTGTAATCCATAAGCTGTACTTTGGAAATTTATATTCATTAAATAAAAGTTTAAAAAAAAAAAAAAAGAAGGTCAGACTTCTCATCTTATACCACTGGAGGATTTTGATCAGTGAATATACGTGACACTGTTCTGGTTTGGAGTAGTGGGGGAAATTTCTTATGTTGAAGAAAAACCAGGAGTTATCTTAGTATATTTGAAGACAACATACTCATTTTAACATGGAGCAACAGTAAAAGACAAAATATACTGAAACATAATACACCCATCATGTGGACTTCATGAGGCTTCTAAGAGGTAAGTTTATGTAAATACAATGGATGAGAACTTGACACACAGGTTTAACAATTTGGGGGAGCAAAACAAGTCCTCATGCTAACTTCCTTCTTACATTGTTTAATTTTTGCCTTTGAATGCATTGTGTACTGACCGTTACACTACCCCTTGGTAAAGCCAAAGGAAAAGGATGGAAAAAAATGAAAGCAACTGGCAAGTTGGAACATTCCCACTCAGTGTACTCCAGCAAACAAATGATAGAAAAACAAGAAGCAAAACACTAGTCTTAGTTTAGATACCTCAATGACAATTCTCTACTAAAGTACTCCTTCCTGTGAGGAAACTAAGGTTTTCAAGCAAAGTGAGAAAACTCAAAGATATTTTTGAAAAGTAGTCCCTAGTGTTAGGTTAAAGGAAGTGCATAGAAATGAAGAAAAATACTAAGGAATGATGCTAACTCAACTCTCAGTAACTCAGAATGCAGAGGACAGAAGGCTTCAGCTGCCATTGAAAATTTTTTTTACTCTGTCATCATACCTTACACTGATTCGTACTCCAGGGTAGCATTAAATCACCTGTGGAAGGTAAATCAAAAGTTTTCTTAGGATATTTTCAGAACACAATCATTTTATCAACTGACAACAGGAAAACATTATTTGAACCCATAGAAATACATGCTCAAAATGTGGATTTTCATGAGTTTTCTGACACAAGATAAACATAGGTTTATTTTTGTTTATTTATTTATATATTTTTGACAGGCAGAGTGGACAGTGAGAGAGAGGCAGAGAAAGGTCTTCCCTTGCCGTTGGTTCACCCTCCAACGGCTGCTGCGGCCGGCGCACCTCAGTGATCCTATGGCAGGAGCCAGGTACTTCTCCTGGTCTCCCAAGGAGTGCAGGGCCCAAGCACTTGGGCCATCCTCCACTGCACTCCCTTCCCTAGCCACAGCAGAGAGCTGGCCTGGAAGAGGGGCAACCGGGACAGAATCCGGCACCCTGACCAGGACTAGAACCCGGTGTGCCGGCGCTGCAAGGGGGAGGATTAGCCTAGGGAGCCGCGGCGCCGGCCAGACATAGGTTTATAAAGATAGGTACAATGAGAAAGCGGCTCATAGATTTAATAATTCAGCGACAAAAATGCCAATTTCAAATATATCCTTAGATTCCTTATTTTTATCCTTAAATATCGTTTGTGACTTACCAATTGCAAACACCCCTCAATAAAGAAAAAGCCAGGTATAGACAAAAGGAAAGGATACGGTAACTTGGAAAGTGCCCATTCCGTGTTCTGCTGGGAGCCACACAGAGAACAACATGAAACAAAAGCTTTGCCTTAGATTAGAGCCCTCAAGGACAATCTCTGCTGAGCAATTCCATCCTTCCTGGAGAACAACCGAAGAGACCGAGTCAAGTTAGTGGTCACATGAACATTTTGAAAATGGATTCTTTGTGTAAACTTAAAGAAACTGTATGGAAGTAAGAAGAAATCCTAAGGAAATACACCAAAGTGCTTTTCAGTAACTAAGAAGATAAAGTGCAAAAGGAAAGTGTGGTCCCACTCTAGATTCGGGCTGAATATTCACACAGTGAAGATCATGGTCAGTCACACACCTTGACACTGATTGGATTTCCATTGTGGTGTTACTTATTCTGTTGATGGAAAGAACTAAGGCTGTCTAATGATGTTTTCAGAAAACAGACCCATATCAATACGCACATGGTGTAAAATAAATTATTTTACATCCCACCATGTTTAATTCATAATGATGATTCTCATGAACTTTATGGTACCCCAAAACAGAAGTAAAGGAAAATGCATGAGAACAAAACAGATAGATAGGAGAGTTGTTAAACAATTCCTATTTTAAATTTCTTCAAGATGTTTTATTTGTATTTGAACAGCAGCTGAGAACAAAGCATCAGATGACCTTAGGCTATAGCAAAGGGGTAAAGATAGACAATCGCCAAGTTTCTGGTAACTTGCAAAGTGCCCATAGAATGTGCAGCTGTTGGCCAGTGAGAGATGATGCGCTTCCACATGACGGTCTTGTACAGGTGTCACATGGGCAAATCTCTATCGAGGAAATACGTCCTTCCGTGGCAGAAACTAAAGGTTTCAGGAACATTAAGAAAACATAGCCAAACGTTCTGGGAAAAGCAGCTCTCAGCATTATCTTGAAAGCATGGCAGACATACTGAAGAGGAGTTCTCAGAACTTATGCCACGTGAAATCTTCAGCATCTCATAGATCAGAGGACATAAAACATATGGACCCCTACTGAGCTGAGGCATGGTATCATTTGCCACTGGAAGGCTCTGCTCAGTCACCATGCCTGATTCTGGGTTTGACTCCAGTGAGACTATCATACTTCCTGTGGAAGAAAAAACAAAAGTTGCCTAAGCAGATTTTCAGATGCAGATCCAACTCCATGTCAGAAAGCAGGAACAGAAGTGATCTCCAACCCAAACAACACATTCTCATAATGTGGATGTGCACAAGTTTTCTGAGACATAATAAGGGTAAGTCTACAAAAATCCAAATTAGGAGAAAATGGGGAGATGTTGTCATGTTTTGAGAGAAAAACAACTGGCAAGTTGAAAATCATTCTTAGAGGTTTATGTCCTTGGCAATCATTTGAGTTTAAAGAATTTCCCTTCCACTTGGAGAAAATGAGACAACAGTCATAGATGAAAAGAAAGGATCCAGTAATTCAGAAAGTGCTCTCTCCATGTCCCAGTGGGAGCCACGAAAGAACAATATGATGCACAACCCACTGTCCTAGTACAGGAGCCACATGGATAACTCCATCAGGGATCGGGTCCCTCCTGGACAGCAACTGAAGACTTAAATTCAACATGACAAAGTCATGCAAATATTTAGGCAAGTTTATCCTTCATGGAGGGCTCCAGAAATGTAGATAGGATGCGACAAGCTACTAAGCAACCATGCCGACTCTTCAGTAAAGCAATAGACAGAATACAAATGACACGGTTGACACATGCCAAGCTCAGGCATGCCCTTCTCTTCGCATGGAGGATTTGGACCAGGTATATGTGTGGCAATGGTTAGGATTTCCAAGTTGGTTAGATTGACTCCGCTGCAGATATACCTAAAAGTGTCTTCGGATAGGTTGAGAAAACACACTCAACCTGCTATTACAAGCAAATCAATGATTTGACATCCCAGCAAATGGCACTCAAAATCAACACTTTCTGGAGGTTTCTGAGACATCATAAACTAAGAATCAACTACATATCAGAAGTACCAAATGCAAAGCTAGAATACTACAAGGAAAAAAGTGTGTGGCACGTGGTGGTATAGAACTTGTGTACCAAGCATTGCAGTGACCATAAACAGCTGCAAAAGCATAAGGAGAGAGAAACTGAACATCTTTGTGATCTTGGGAAGCGCATACTGAGTGTAGAGCCACAGGAAGCAAACTGGCTGTCTCAGTAAATGTGCCCCAGGGGCAATGTTGTACCTAGGAACTCTATCCTTCCAGGCCAGAACATCAAAGGTTTCCAGCAACCTAAGAAACACAAAGGAAAAATTGAAAAAGCAACCCCTAGTGTTCAGAGAAAGGATCAGCAGAGAATATCAAAGGAACTTGTAAGGCATTCTGGTATTTGAGCACATCAAGTGCTCAAGAGAACAGAGGTTAGAACAGAAGTGTACCCAAAGGGAGACTGGTGCTAGCATCATTGGACACATTTGGAGTTTGATCAGTTATCAGACCATCCTAAATGTCAGATTCCCATGTAATCATCAGGTCTTTCGGTAAGGGAAAGAAAATAAGTCCTCGGTGATTTTTCACATCAGAGAGGAATAAAATCAGTATTTCTGAAACACAGAGATGAACACACTCACAATGGATGTTCCTGACAATTCTGACTCATGTTCCTGTACATGCAAACATGCATTATGGGAAATGGCTCATGGATTTCAAACAGCTAGAGTAAAATCATTTCCTGCGCTCCACTCATTCTTAAAGGTTTTCTTTCTGTCCAGGGACATATCTTGATACTCCTAATTGCAAAGACAATTCCAGACAGCCAAAGAATAGAGAAAGATGTAATGAGAGATCTGGTAACATACAAATGGCACAAATGGTGTCTACCTGGGAGACAAGTAAAGTCACAGGTAGTCCAAGAGTGTTTTTTAGTTTGGTACCATCTCAGACAATATCTGAAAAATTTTCTACTATATTTACAAATGTTCGAATGGGGAACACAGGAATGGAACAACATGCAAATATAGGTGCAGGTTGGCTCCACTGCACACTGGAGCATTAGGTTCAGCGAGAAGACTTGACACTTGATTAGAGTTCTGCTATTATTTCATCCATGGAAGGATCCAGGCATACTGAACTGAGTGACTGAGAAGACAGATTTCATTCAGCATTAGTATAGAGTAACAAAAAATAACTTCCTAACTAAAGAGTAAGGAAGAAAAACTAAAAGGCTCTGCGAACATTCAAAAATGCCGAGTCGTTATGCAGCAGTGTTCAGCCAATGATAGGACTCACGAGGACAAAAGGCAGTCATGGAGGACACGACTTGCACACGAGCACTTCTACACTGAAGAAACGCATCCATGTTAAGCAGAAGGATGAAGATTCCAAAACAGGTAGAAAACACAGACATATTTTCAGAAAAGGAGACACTTAGCAATAACATTCCACCACAAAAATGTCACGTCAAAAAGGAACAACAGCAGTAACTCTAAAGCACAAACCACACATGAGCCAAACAGATTGTTCCTAAGTTCAAATGGGGGCGCTACAAGTTTGGGGACAACGATCTGTAACAAGATTACAGAGACCACAGAACCTACAAAAAACCAGAATGAAACAGAAAATCTTGGATTCACAGAAAGAGGTCACTGAGAAAAATGTCCTGAATCATGGCAAATTACAGGAAACAAAGTACATATTACAGTGCAAAGGCAAAATGGGCACAGAGAGACAGAGAAAACTGTACCACTCAGAGACAAAAAAAAAAAAAAAGGGAAACCTTTAAGGAAGGTGAAGAAAATCGAAGCAAAACAGACTGAAAAAGCAGCGTTAAAGGCAGTACAAACACTGGAGGAAAAAATGAAAGATCTATGTAAGCAAAAGACAGAGAAATCCTAGGTCACAGGACACCTTCTGGTAACAAGGAAGCACTTTGCAGAAGCTTCCCAGTCCCGGAGGCAATAGGAAAGCCCGTTCTCGCTCAAGGAGCCCCGGCAACCCAGCGGGCTCCCAGGGGCAGAGGACACAAGGCACACGGGGCCCCTACCGTGGTCGTGGTCGTGGTCGGGTCGTGGTCGTGGTCAGCCTCCTCGGTGCTGGGAGTCATGGTTGGGAGCGGCACGTCCGGAACAGGTTCCCGGGTGCCGGGCTCGGCGTCTGCGGAAGAAGAAGAGACATCACGCACTTGGCCTGAGTGAGGGTCTCTGCCGACAACACACCTGCCTCCGCCTAGGAAACCAGGCAGAGCAATGTTCTCCCGGCCCCACACCTCCCGACGCCTCATGTGGGTGGGTGCCTAGGTCAGTGCGGAGACAGCACGGGCGCCTGCCTGCCTAGGCC